AAAGAAAAAAAGAAAAGGAAAAAAGGGGAAGGGGAAGAGGTAAGGAAAGCTCCACCTGTTCATAACCTCTTACGTACAAGGCCAGCCACGTGGATATATCGTCAAATAGAACTGCCCGTTAAACCGTCGGCAGAGAGGGAGAAGAGGAAGAGGACAACAAACAAACGAGGGGCAGTGACAAACTGTTTCGTCGGAATTGAAGGAAGTAATTTACTCATGTTCAGTCATGGACCTGTCTCTTATACACATCTAGATGTGTATAAGAGACAGGGGTCTTGGAGTTGGACTGTTTTGGCCAGCCCTGAAAAAATCCTGAAAATCCTGAAAAAAATCAAAAAACTGTATAGGAGGCTCTTTTCATAAAAATCCTGAAAAAAATCCTGAAAAAAATCCTGAAAAAAATCCTGAAAAAATCCTGAAAACCCTGAAAAAACTGCATAGGGTGAAATTTTCACGAAAACACATTTTCCTTTTCCCTTAGGGTTTAAGGCTCCTCCTTTCGGGTTTCGTAACTTTTTTTCCCTTTTTTTTTTTTTTTTTTGGGTGTTGGTTTATTTGTTGTCCAGTCTATGGACTGGTGACAAGTTTCCTCTAAAAGGTGCGGGATTTTTGTTATCAAGACAATGAAAGAAAAAAAAAAAAAACTGAAAATTTAAGGCTCTGTTAACGGCTTCTTGAATTAGACTTCACACTTGAACAGGCAACATCATAGCGTGCGACAAAGAGAAAAAAAAGAAAAAAAAAACGGTACATGAAAGAATAGAGGCGCTGAAAAAAATGCGCAACGAAGGGTGAGTGTAGTAATATCACACAATTGCTAATTCGTCATCATTTTTTATTTTTTATTCTTTATTTTTTATTTTTTATTTTTATTTTTTTTAATTTTAATTTTTTTATTTTTTATTTTTTTTGCCTAAAGCGGCGAATTAGTTTACTATTACGGGCCCAGTGCCCAAGCCAAATTACACCTGTCTCTTATACACATCTAGATGTGTATAAGAGACAGCCTCTGCGCCGGGCCAGCCGCCAGCTGGGCACTAAGCCCAAGATGGTGCTGAAACGGAAGAGAAAAGCGGATGCAGGGAGGACGGGGGGCAAAGGGCGGCGGAAGGGCGAGCAAGCCAGCGTCCCACACCCCGAAGATCGGCCATTCACGTGTCAAACAGCAAAAAGATAGACCAGGTACGGAAACCTTGTTACGACTTCT